TTGTTTTCTGTTAATAGTTATGAAAAATCAGGAACACAAGTAACTGAAGTACGACGAATGTTTCTTGAACGAAAAGATATTGCAGGATATAAAGCATATACAGCAAAACAAAATGATCCGTAAATTATTTTATATTTGTAATTAAATTGTATTTAAATAAATATTTTAATTAGAAAATTATTTCGTTGGTGGGGTCGTTATTTTGAAAGTCGAGGCAAAATAGAAGATGCACTTGGATGTTATCGAAAAGCAGATGATAATTTATCATTATGTCGATTACTTTGTGAACAAGATCAACCTACTAAGGTATAAAATTTTTGCAAATTTGATTAGATTATTTTCAATTGATAAAAATAAAAATAATACTTTAGGCTATTGAATTATGTTCAGATACAGGAAATAAAGCTGCTTGTTATCATATGGCACGATATTTTGAAAAAAAAGGCGATTATAAACAAGCTATTTCTTATTTTCAACAAGCATCAGCTATTAGTAATGCTATGCGTCTCTGTCGGGTATGAGATTTTCAATTTTATTTTATTGAACATTATTTTATTAATATCATGAAAACAGAATAGTGACAATATGTAATATTGTAGCAATCTACTGCCCATTTCAAAATAAAAGGCACGTGTGTATTTTTTGAATAACTTTTGATAGGAACAAGTAGAGAGCTGTGGTTTTTAGCGTTGGAAAGAGCAGATAAAAACGCATCGAACCGTATAAAACAATGATTTTTAACTTGGGTTTTTGAAACCTTCTGCAATAGTTGAACAAAAAAATGCCTTAAAAACAGGCCTGATTTTTCCAGGAAAAACTCAAAAAAACTGAGTTTGTTTTACAGAAAACGCTGGCAAAATGGACTATAATTGTCGAATATAGTACCTAGAACTCACAAACCAGTAAAGTTTTGAATCAAGCATTATATATAGTTTTGTAGCTCTTGAGTTGGCGATTCTAACGCACTCCTCAAACTTTAAGATTTGTTCTACCTTCAAAGAGCAATAGTCTACTCTTTCAAGATGATAATGGATCACTACCTATTTTTGAGATAAACCTTAACAATTTTATATGAGTTGATGCGCTGAATCAGCCTCTTTGCAACGGTGAAAACCACAGCTCTCCATCTTGTTCCTATCAAAAATTATTCAAAAAATACCCACGTGCCTTATATTTTGAAATGGGCAGTAGTATCATTATCAAACAACAGAGTACTCAGAGTATATATTTTGCAATGAAAACATAATTATAAGATATAACTCACTAAAATGAAAATTTGTTCATTGAATCAGTCTAAATTTCGTGCCGATCTATTTTTTAGGCAATTTCTTCTGTGATTTCGTTTTCTACGATGATATATACAATTATTTATTATTTCTATTTATATAGGATCATCATTTAGATGAATATATGGCTAATATTGCTGTACAAGGTACATCTGATGATATGCTTGAAGCAGCACGATACTTTCAAACTTTACCTATGCAAGAAGATCGTGCTATTTTACTCTATCATAAAGTATTTTTTTTTGAAGGCAAATAACTGAATAATGTAAGTTAATTGTAAAATTAAGGCTGGATTAACTTCGAAAGCTATTGATTTGGCATTTAAACATGAACGATATTCAGCATTAGCACAAATTGCTGATAGGTATATCATATGAGAGGAAGAAAATTCTATAAGAATGAGTTTATTTTTATTAAATTAGTGTTGGTAAGAATGTTGATCCAACACAAGTTACTCGAATGGCTGATTATTTTATGCAATTAAAACAATTTGATAAAGCGGTTGATTTACTTGCCGCTATTGATCGAGTTCGTTTTTCTTTTTCTTTTTAATAATTCTTTGTTATGTCTTATTAATAATTTAAATGAATAGGTTGATGAAGCAGCAGATTTAGCTATTCGAAATGAAATTCCATTAACAGAAGAATTACTTGAACGATTAAGTCCTGCTAAACGTAAGTCACTCTTCTGTCTAAAATCTTATCCATTTAATTATTTGATATACATACATTTGTTTTCTAGCTACTAACGAAGAAGATATGCCTAAATATCAGGCTATTTGTGAGAAATTAGGTGATCTAGCTGTTAGTCAAGGAGCATATGCTGGTGCAGCAAAGAAATATCTCGATGCTGGTAATAAGATTAAAGTATGTTATTGTTATTTGAAAATCTTCAAAAAAAAAAACAAATTTCAATAATCTTTTGTTGTTTTTAGTCAATGCGTGCATTGATACATTCTGGTGATGTTGAACGTATAACTATGTTTGCAACTGTAGCACGTAATCGTGAAGTTTATTTACTTGCTGCTGATTATTTGAAAACATTGGATTGGAAAAAATATCCAGATGCATTACAAAATATAATGAATTTTTATAAAAAAGCAAGAGCATATGACAAACTTGCTCTATTTTATGATATGTGTGCACAAGTATGATTTGAAATTTTTATAAAATACAAAATTCACAATATAGTTTATCTTTTTGTTTTTCATTAGATTGAAATTGAAGAATATCGAGATTATAATAAAGCATTAGGTAAGATAAAAAAAAGTATGATGTTTTGTTTTACTGATAACATATATTTGTTTATTCATCTAGAGGCATTAATGGAAGCATATAAAATATTGAGAGATAATGGAGAAAATACATTTACAAAAGATGAAACATTACAAGAACTCGAACTCAAATGTCGAAATATAAAACGATTTATTGATGCTAAAGAGTAAGAAAATTAATCTAATTTATAACAGTGATTAAGAGGAACTATCAGAATTTATTTAAATTATAGTAGTTATCTATTGATATATATATATAAAACATTTTTAGATGTACCAAAAGACAACTGCAGTTTTTTAAGAATCTATTCTCATTGCCAGACACGCATCTTTCCTCAGATGAAATTCTTTGATTTGATAAGAAATTATATAAAGAAATTTATAGAAGAATGTTGAAGATATAAATCCTGAAAGCTCTTAATGATTGAATATTTTATCTCTATTATTAATTCATAAATATATAACATACTTGATCATGTTCTTTTTTAGTCGATACTTGAATGATCCCGAAACAGGTTCTCGTGAATTGGCTAGTTTATTAACAGATCAAAAAATATTTATTGGTGTTCATCCAGGTGATCTTTATGGAATATTAATTGATCATTTTGGACGACAAGAAAAATATAAACAAGTAAAATTACAGATAAAAATCTTTTCATGAACAGTTTCTTTTTTTTTAAATAGGCTGGAATGTTACTTGATGAATTACAAGAGCATATTCCTGAACGTTATTTTTCTCATTATATTAATCCAAATTTACTTTCGGCTATTTATGCTGCAACTGGACGTAAAATGGCTCCGCCAGATCAACCATCACAGAGTATGACATATAATAATGATGAAAATGAAGACAAACTAGTGATTGATGATTATCAAAATGATCGACGACAACAACAACGACAAGGACACTTAGGCAAAAGTCATACTTATGCAGAAGAAATTGATGACAATATCGATTATGGATCTGTTGATGATTGAAAACAATTTTTTTTGTACAGTATTTTGTTTTTGTATGAGAAAAAACGAGCCTTTTTAAAAGAGAAAATCTTCTACACTGCTTGTTACTTTGCAAAAAAAAAATAAATTGATTTCGGTCGAGTCAAACCTCTTTTGAATCATTATTATATCAGTCTAGAGTACAATTATCTTGGAAGAAATCAACTGCATATTTACCATATCATAGGAGAAGAACTAATGCTTGAATTCATTTGTAATATTGGAGTACTATTTCTTTTTGATAAGATATAATTGCAAGTACATGGCACATGAGCTAAGCCCATGGCGCGAACTTGGTGTGAAGCACATCCCCAAACTGGACTTATATTGTTAATGAAATTGTAAAACTTTCGAATTGGTCGAAATGTCAAATTTAGAGGAAAAAAACCATATTTATATATTGTAGAAAGTAGAACGATGAGTTTAATGCACATTTCAATATATGTACCACAAATCAGTTATAAGGAAACAAACTGGATTTTGTGCTAATTGAAAATCAATAGATATTGTCTCAAAGTTGATGAAAAGACGAGGCAAAATAATGCCATTTCCTGCTCCTTCCATGGATTTGAATTTTTTTTTGTCAAAATCGATTAAAGAATGGTTCCTGTCCTAGTGAATTACTCACCAAACGAGTGGTCATGCTAGCAAATGCCACGAGAATTCATGAGTACTTGCGTACTTACCATGTAATACTAAATGTTTCATGAATACTCTATATAGTTTTTATGTATATTAGTGATTTATGTAAAATACTCATAAGCCTATATTCTATCCCGTATTGCCGCATTTACATCTATTTTATTTAGCTACAAAAACTAAATAATAAAAAATACAGATAAACATAATGAATATTTGAAAAAACAATGAAGATGAAAACTGCAGCTATCATTTTATCTGTATACTTTTTTAAAGATAAATAATAGGTCTGGAGATATTTTCATCGTTAGAGAAGAAAGTGAAATATTTCTTTATTTTTATATAATAAAAATAAGATTTTATTTATTTTTTTAAAAGTTCAAAGAAAAGAATGAAATTTTTAAAAAACCAAGAAAATTATTTTTAATAAAATATTTAATGGACAAGAAATTGTACAACTACACAATCTCTAATTTCGTATTATAAGCAATCATATATGTTCTATAATTCCATATTTGTTGTGTATTTTTTTAATAATAAATTTTCATGTTTTTTTTAAACTTTGTTCTTTTCTTGAATCTTTTAAAAATAAACAAAATCTTATTTTCATAATATAAAAATAAGAAAATATCTCATTTTCTCCATTAACGATGAAATATCAGCAATTGATTCAACAATTTTACATTTTAAAATAAATAACTGATTTAATACTACACAATGATATATTATGATTGGAGATATTTATCATACACAATATTTTCATATAGATGTTCAAACAGATTATTTAATTCTTATACGTCTTAGTGACGAATTAATTTATCAAACGAGTATGAATGAATTTCGTATTAATGTACCTAATGATTGAATTTATATGAATGCACAATTAAAGTAATCAAAAGAAACTTTAATTTTCTTTATTCAATATGAAAAAATATTCGAGTTAGTGTTGACATTGTACGTTTAACTATGAAAAATTTTTCAGACGATTGTACATATTCAATCAATACAGTTGAAAAAATAAAATCAAATGATTTATTTCGTGTTAACCCATATGCAAGTTCAATAACTCTTATTCATTCATTAGTGCAAACTTTCAAAGTCAAACATATATTACGCGTGTGGATGTGGGTTGTGATTCATAGATGAACTAGCCTAATCATAAATCGGTCGACCGGTAAACGCTGACCCACTGATAGACCAGCCAGTCTAAAATTCGTTCCGTTACTTGTTCTATCTTGATAGTCGGCTCATTGGTTAAAGGTTAGGCATTTTGAAGGTGAAAGATGATTGCCTTCATTCATTTTTTATGTAATTAGACTGTTTAAAGCTCAACAGTTATTTCTAATAGACCAAGAAAAGGGTGTAGGTGTGGGTATAGATATGGGCGTGAATGTGAGTATCTGTTTATGGTCATTTCACCCATACCCACGCACACCAAACCCACACCCTATAATAGATAACTATTAAATTTTGTCGAGATAAATTCATTTAATTTAAATATATGTGGTTAATAAAAGAGCAAGAGAAATAAGATGATCATTGTTTTTATTGAATAATATTAAAAAACAAAATTTTTATTTTGATTTATTACAATTTGATGATGGAAAGCAATCACGACGTTCATTTCTAAAAAAATTCATATTAGCTTGAAAAATAACAAGTTATTGAACCATCAGAAATATTTAATGAATAAGTGTGCGACCTTTACGCTTTGTAGTTGTTCAATGGTTTTGTGCAAACTCCAGTCAACTAAATAATTTATTCAAAAACTATATTGACCTATATTCAGAAGTCCACTCAATTGATACATATATACATATAGACCTGGATTTCAAATTAATCTTACTGATTTAGTTAACTGATCATGAGTAGCTGCCTAATTCGGGTTCGAGTATAAATGAAATTTTCGAAAAATCCTAAGCTTAAATAGTAAAAACAAAACGTAAATATTATCCTAATTATAAATTTATAATTCGAATTTGGATATCTATACAAGTTTGGCAAAAAAGCGAAAGAGAAATTTTATTCTAATTTTAAATTTTATATTTATAATCTCCTTTTCTAAGAGAAACGGTTATACGGCAGTTATATAGGACTGGGAAAAAACTGAAATGAATAGTTTAAGTTTTCTTTCTCCTCGTCAAATTGATGTCTCGATAGTACCGAAGAGCATTGCTTCTCTGGCTCGTTTTTTTTTCTATCTTGTTATTCGTATCAGTCAAAACAAACCAGTTTGAATGACGAGAACACAACATAGTGATGAGAGAATTGAGCGAAAGAAAAAATGGTGCACGTCATTGGCAGTAGCCGTAGCGACGAGAGAGGAATACAAAAAATAACGTCAACTACAGTAGTTCTTCATTTACATCACATCCTTATACCCTAATGGTTAATCGGAGTGTATAGTTGAAATATCTTTCTTTCTGTGTGTTTTTCTCGCTCTGTTTTCTTGCTCTCCCAGACAAGAGAATTTTTTTTCGACTGCGGGATATTCAGCCATCGTGTTTATTCTTCGCTATCTGCTGTTCGATTTATTGTTAATAGCAAATTGGAACCATAATAGGACGTATGTATCTGATCCTTTATAATACATGAGATGAAGGCGCAATCATTTCATATTTTTTTCAGCAGTAGACAATTGGACCAGTCGATGAGGAAATTGTTCCCGTTTATAGAGAAATGGTTCATCCCACATAAAGTCATACATATAAAAGAGAAATGGAAATAACAAATATTAACATATATCTCTCTTTTTTTCTTCCTCCACGTACATTTTAATTCAAGCAGAAATTGTTTTTTTAAGGAGAAATGCTTTCCCAAGCAGAAATTATTTTTTTAAGGAGAAATGCTTTCCCAAGCAGAAATGGAAAGAAAAATAAATTGTCCGAAAGAAAAATTCATTCCTTACAAAAAGTACCTTTGCTATCCAGATATCATCAGACTAAAACGCAACATAATCGGTGTTCACCAGAAGTATTAGTTTACCTTTATTCTTCTCTTATATTAAAGAATACATATGAGAGAATATTAACATTTATAGAATAAAGTTAGATAATTGAAAACATTTTTATCGTTCAAACAACAGATGCATAAATTTCTTATCTTAT